TCTCTCTCTCTCTCTCTCTCTCTCTCTCTCACCCAAAGCACGCATCTCCTCCCTAGGTTTCTCTAAACAAGGATTTTCTTATCAGGCTTTTGGTTTTTGTCTCAAATGGTGAGGAAGGCTATTTCAATCGATTCTCATACTTGCAAATTGCAATACACTAGTTAATGAGTTTTGTCAAATTGGGTGGGTAATTATTTAGAATGGGTTATGGATAATTTGGTTTGATGGGGATTAGGTGTCTTGAGAGCTAGCTAGGTGGGTGGGTGCTATTCGGCTTGTGGTAGATGGTGGTTGCTAGGTGGCTGGTGGTGTTTGGGTGGTGGCTTGTTTGGTGCAGCCTGGGAAGGAAGTGATAAAGTTTTTCATGTTTGTTTAATATTCTAAAATAATTTTTTAAAATTGTTAACATCCATGCTGGATTTACACTTAAGATGAGTTACATAAGTCCTTATAAGTTATTTTACAAAAAGATAAACTTGTCTTTAAAATTTTAAAGATATGGTGGGTGGGAAAATAGGACAAGATGATGAAAATAGCAGCACTCAATTAATTATTTGATTAAAATAATAATAATTTATGAATAAAGGGCACACTCTTAGAGTTTTGCCCTGGGCCTTCAATCACCCAGGGCCGGCCCTGTTGTGATGGGGAAATGGGGTGAGAAGGGACACGGGTTTTGCGTGTGCGGGGCTGGGTTCTCGGTTGGAGGGATGGGTTGCGATGGGGAAAGAGAGCAAGAAGGGGCACGGGTCGTGGAGGAGGGGAATGGGTATGGGGTTGGGAAAAAACAAGAGGGAGGGCGGCGATGGGTCTGGGTGTGGAAAAGGGGGAGAGAGGATAAGAAATTGGGGGAGAGGGGAGGTGTCTGTGGGTGTTAGTAATGGGGAAATGGGGAAGAGAAAAAATCAGGGGGGTGGGGATGAGAGGAATGAGTATGAGGGTTGGAAAAAAATACCAGAAGGAGGGGTGGTGTTGGGTGGTTCTGGGTTCGTTTGGGGATTGGAGCTTGTAAGTGGTGATGGTCGTGGGGAATCGGGGGAGAAAAAATGGCCAAATTTGAGAGGGGTGGGGGAGCCTTTTTCTTCCATTTTTTTTTTTTCCAAAAAATAATATTTTAATAATTTTTTTTAAAAAAAAAACTATGGGACCCATAGTGGCACATAGGTAACTAACGGCGAGATCTGACGAAAATCCTAACATTGTAACCACATTGTAACAAATTTAAAAGATTGAGGTATGTAATTGTAAAAATTGAGAAGATAGTGACTAATATGTCTTAAGGGTATAACCACAGGGTACTAAACTGTCATTAACCCTATATAAAATCCTTTTAAAAATCCCCAAGTATGTTACCCTAAATTCCAAGGTTTCATGCTATACTAATTATTAAATACAAAATTTATTTCATAATGTTAGTCACGGAACGATTACTTTAGTTTTTTTATAGCAAAATCTACCCTTAGATTAAGAATTCTTCTTTGAAAGTTTGACCATCTCTAATGCTAAAGAGCAAATTTTCCTCTACCCAAATACACCAAATATATATATAGTCGGGATTGAAAATGTATCTGGCACCCAAAAAAAATCATTTATTATTTTTATTTAGAATATTGGTTTGCAACACATTCTAAGATGTGGAGGACATTTCTAGATTGATTGTCTGACTTGAGTTTGGGGATTAATTCTTGAAGGTTTCCTTCATTCTGTCAAAAGTAGTTATGTGAATTGAATGTTTTGCTGCAAAGAATTATTTGCATAGACTTTGCTTTCTTCCAATTAGGAGGCATGATTAATGGTTACTGTATTAGTTGATGTTAGAACCCCAGTTCAACCTTTAATTTTTTAAAACAAATTTATCGAAAATTAAATACGAAGCTTTCAATTTCAAATTATTGTGTATTTTCTTGTGAGTTCTTATAGAAATGGGGAAAGCATGATTCATCAAGACTGAGAAAATAATTTCATGTAGATTGATATGCCAGAATTTGGGTATTCTCTTGAAACAACTCAAGTTCGTTGGAGATGGTGGCTGAGTCCCGTCGTTAGAGGTGATGGAGGCCATGGCCATGAGAGAGAGAGAGAGAGAGCTTGTGGGTGGGAGGAAATCGATAGGTTTTACTGTAGAGAGAGACTATATAATTAATAAGCCTTGTAGGGCTCATCACACATTGTTTTTATGATCCGAACTGTGTAATTTTTACATGTTCCCTCAAAGATGACCGTTTATAATTATTATTAAGGGAACGAAAAAAAAAACACAGCCAAGAATTAAAGCAAGAAAGCCACAACCCCCACAATGAAGCTCATCACCAAAAGGAAAGTTTTCTCATTCTTTGACATTTAAGAGAATGAAAGGCACGAAGAGCGTGAAAATGGAACCAAACAAAATTAGGGTTTTTCGAATTTGGGTTTTGGAATTGGAAGAAGAAAGAAATCAGAATCTATTTCTTGTTGGGGGGGG